ACAATAGCATACCCATACAGTAAGTAAAATGAAATAGATCCCTATGTGTAGATACAGAAGTTGCTACATAATTCATTGATTGTGAAATATTATAGAGCACTATATATATAATTTGAAAAGTTGAGAAGACAAAGTTTTAAAAATTGTTTAAATTTATATATATAGTATGTGTGTGTATATATATACACATATATACATACACATACACAAATATATATGTATTTAACATTTTATTTGGAAATATTTATTCCCCCAAAGTAGATATAAAAACATTTCTGATTTTTTTTTTCTTGTCTTTTTGAGACAGGGTCTCCCTGAAGCCCCAGCTGGCCTGGAACTTACTATGTAGACCAGGCTGTCCTTGAACTCACAAAAATCTACCTGCCTTTTCCTCCCGAGTCTGGGATTAAAGGCATGTACCACCACGCTCGGCAACATTTCTGATTTTTAATGCCAGCAAGAAGATATGTAATTCAATTATTTCTGAATTAGTATATGTCATAGTAAGATTGTTTTAATGGTATATAACCTTAAAATATATTACAATATAGGGCTGGAGAGATGGCTTAGTGGTTAAGAGCACAGGCTGCTCTTGCAGAGGACCCAGGTTCAGCTCTCAGTACCCACATAGCAACTAGCAACCACCTGTAATTACGGTTCCAGGGAAACGACACCTTCTTCTGACCTCTGTGAGCCTTGCATGTACAGGTACACTTATACACATGCAGGCAATTCACTCATAGACATAAAACAAAAAATAATAAAATGTTTAAAATATATATATCTTACAGTAGATACATTTGTGTATTTAAATAATGATTGAGGTAATTATATTTTGTGAGGTTTTAACATTGGCAGTTCAGAAAGCTCATCTAAGATACCCTCAGGCTCCCCAGAATTCAGTGTGCACCTATTGTTTCATGATGTTTTCTTACCACCTTGAAAAGAGTTCAGTTGCATTGCACTGTGCAGCATACCTCATGGGTTCTGTTGGCCTCGGATCTTTATTTCCTGCTTTTCATCGTGTCTTGACCCCTGGCTCATCTAAGTGGGACAGGCCCACACTTGATTGTGTAGTTCCTGATGTAGTTTCCTCTTGCCAGCTTGTATCTGACTTTTTTTTTTTTTTTTTTCTTTTTAAAACAGGGTCTCCCTGTAGCTCCAGCTGGCCTGGAACTCA